GGTAGAACTAAAAGCTAGTATAAAATTCCTTTTAAAATGCAGAAAAAACCAAACTTATTCCAAACTTTATCAAAAATTCGATTAGATGTAATAAATTGTTTGTATTCGACTGTGACCCACATCCTAACATAGACAGTACTTTAGCCAGACATACACATTACTTTCACACAAAAAATATTAAGCCTGCTTATTAAACATAAACACAACATATTAAGAAGACGAAAACAGCAGATGGAAGAAATAACAACAGAATTAAGTAAACAGCTAAGCACAGATGACTTGCAAGCATTTTTAGAGAGTGAGAGAAATGTCGCAAATAAACCAACAACAATACTGAAGGGGCGACAAGAACTGAAGCTTGAGGGACTGCGCAACAAACGTAATAACATATTTGTCGACAACCATAAACAAGAAGATTGGTTTGTAAACAAAACCAAAGTGGAGTTCCCGCCAGACATAAAAGCGTTGCTGTAGAAGGGACCAAAGTTCGCACTACCCGTCGAGAATAAGAGATTTCCTATTTTTCAATATATTGCTGATGGGGAGGACATGATACAGACGCTAAAAGACAACGACAACAAGAGGAGGCGCGTACCAAATTCTCGTTATTAATAAAAGACCACACAACAACAAATAGGCAAAGTGCAATGGATTGTGCAATATTAGACACAGTGGAGCGAACACGAAAATTTCTCAGAAAAACGACAATATTCAAATTCTAACATCTGGCAAGGGAAACAAAACTGTGGCAATGGAAACGGACGGTTATAATAATAAAATGTAAAATATATTAGATGACTTAACCACATACAGAATTCAAAGGCAGGATCCCACATCTAGATTACAAAACAAAAACAACAGTTTAGTGGATAAACTTTTTAAAATGGGGTTTGTTTCAAAGGCCGAAAGGAACCAACTAACCTAAAACACGGCCTTACCCGCAAGAATTCATGGACTCCCAAAAATACATAAAGGGGGAACACCTCTAAGACCGATATGTTCATCCATTGGATCGCCGTCTTACAATCTATGTAAATATATTGTAGAAATATTAAAAAACGTAACGGCGAACTCAGCATACAATATAAAGAATACATTGGAGTTCAAGGAAAGGATAAACAATACATTTATTTGTGACGATGAAAAAATAGTTTCTTTTGACGCAGTCTCACTTTTTCCGAGCATACCAATACAATTAGCACTTGACGTAATACGAGAAAAATGGACAATGATAAAAGAACACACAAAGATACCAAAACAAATATTCATGGAAATAGTAAAATTTTGTATACAAGAAAATAGGTATTTCAACTTTAATGACACGATATACACATAATTAAAAGGTACGCCGATGGGATCCCCTGACTCCCCAGTCATCGCAGATATAATAATGGAAGAAGTTTTGGACAGCACGATAAAGAAATTGCGACGAACTCCGAGATTGCTCTCAAAATGTGTTGACGACTTATTTGCTATAATACATGAAAATTAAATACAAAACACACTTGACGCACTAAATTCTTTTGACAGAAATATTAAGTTCACAATAGAACTAGAAGAGGACGGAATTTTACCTTATCTTGACTCCATTATAATCAAAAGAGGAAATCAACTAAAGTTAAAGTGCGACTGTTGGCTTCTTGTCAGGACGAATCATCAACTTCCATTCTAAACACCCCAAGACGATGATAATGAAAACAGCAATGAGCTGTATACGACGAATGCTACAAATATCAGATGAAACGTATCATGAAGAGATGGAGAATGAAATAAAAATATGATCAAAAAAACAATGATTTTTCAGAGCACATAATAAAAACATTAGTAAGAAGATCTAAATTAGCAAACCATCAACGAATAACAGAAAAGCCTATAACTTTTAAATCAATAACATATGTCCCCCATTTATCAGAGCGCTTAGCGAAATCAGACTGCTACAATAAAGAAAAAATAAAAATAGCCCACAAGCCAACAAACACATTAAAAAACATATTTAACAGAACCAAATCTAAAATACCCAAAACTGAAAAAAGCAAAGTAATTTATAAAATCCCTTGCAACGGTGGCAGCAACGAGTCTATGTAGGCACAACGAAATCTAAATTAAAAACAAGACTATCACAACATAAATCTGATTTCAAACAATGCCAGAATGTAAATTTCCAAAAAAACAGCCTTCATGACCCACTGTGCTACCAGCGGTCACTCTCCGAACTTCGACGAAACGATTCTCCAACAAGAGCAACACTATAACAAGCGCTTTATCTTAGAAATGCTCCACATAATCATGGTTGCCACTCGCCAACATTTTTTGCTACCAAAATCTCTTAAGAAAAGTTACCAAATCTTCACTACCAAAATCTTCACCTCTTCAGTGAGAAAAAAATATATATATTTCATAACAAATATGTATATACTTACAGCCCGGTTCTGTGCACTTAATAAATTCAGTATTTTTACAATTTGTCAATTTTTGATTATTTATCAAGAACTCCCAGTTCTAGCAGAGAAGTTTAAATCTATTTTCTTGATAAATTATCAAGATTGAAAATGCTATTGACAATTATAATAATTTTTTTTTATTAGAAAATATTTTTCTATCAATTTGTTGTTGTTATATTTATGGCCTTATAACAATTATATTCAACAATTTTTATGAGCTCGAGGCCGTATTAAATGCAAACTTATTGTGGAAAAGCAACAATAATTTGAAAAAATGGTAGAAGTGATAGCTATTTCGGAAATCACCACATTTCCTCATCAGACTTCTTTCAGTAGAATTCGAACCGACGATCACCACTGACTCAGCCAGTTGCCTATGCACTGTGCTAAGTTTGTCTTGTTAATTCTTGTTGCTTATTTTCCACTATTTCGCTTTGCTAAGCCAACTACAATCAAGCAACAATTAATTACTGCATGTGCCGTTATTCCCATTTGTTGTTGGTGTTTCCGACAGGGTAGGAGTATGATGTAATGTGGAACTATTTTCCATCATCCCTTCTCAAATTTGGTTTGGAGACAAACCGGTTTCGGCGTTGTGCCATTTTCAGTGTAATATTTCGTTCGGAATGTGCCGATACTTGGACCTGCGACTCACGGAATAATAGCACCGGCACACAAAAAAGTGGCGGGTGCTTTAACCGTTCGCTTGACTCGTACAAAATTTCCAGTAAATTGAGAAAATTGCTAATTTTTTTGCTATTTTTTCAGTTTTTCATAATTTACTGTACGTCGAAATATATGTCGGTAGATGGGTCTGGTAAAAAGCACGCAACATTTTTTTTTGCCGGAATAATCAAAACGAATTATGGACCTCACCAAAAATTGCCGGATGGCCAGTATTAAAATGTGGAAGGGTAGAGTTCAAAATTTATCGCAAAAATTCGAAAGTTGTTTTAAAAGTGCAGCCCTTGGTGCTGCCACTGTAATTCAAATATTTCCATTATTCGAATATGAGATGACTCTAATTTAATCGAAGTAATTTTGTAAAAGTGTCAGTAGTGCTGCCACTGAAATTCTAAGGGTTTATACTTTTTTTCCTGACCTCTTCACTAACACACTAAAATATACACCAATACACAGAAACACATTTGTAAAAATAACCTTAGGAAATACAATAAGTAGAAAAGAGACCTTTTAGCACTGCTGGTAAAATCGCCATTTGAGAAAGGGACGCATAGTCACATGTACACAAAAGAACCGGTCAGGTTTTTCATATTACCCCCGAATTTCTGATGAGGAAATTGCAGCATTATTGCATCAGCACTGACCGTCAGGTGACCGGTCATTTGCCTGTAAGATTTTTTGTAGGGAACACAATTCATTCTAGTAATGCAGATAGATGTTTAGTTGCAAAAGTTACCAAAATGAAATAAAAGTTACCAAGTTACCAAACCGTTTAAAAGTTACCAATTTTGGTAGAAAGTTACCAATTGTGGCAACCATGCACATAATTAACACACCGACAAACATACGACTGAAGTACAAAACGGACACTGAAAATTGCGCTCACTTGTACAGACACTTGCT